GACGAAGTTTCAGCAGATTTGGTGAAAACAGCCGTGGCGCCAAATTGGCGCCAAACGGCGCCAAATGGCGCCAAATGACACCAGCATCAAAAATGAATGTCATATTCGTAATCAGGGCATCGAATTACCCCAATAGACAAAGTTTCGACGAAAAATGAAACTTTGAGATTTTGGGGCAGTAATCGTGGGAATCCGGCAATAGGGGAAGGCTGAAAACGGTGAAAAAACCAAAGTTTCAACTGGGGAAGTAATGCATATCATTCGATAGCATTTTTCACGGGGAAGCTAACGGGGCACATTTCAGGTCTGCGAGTTCATCTGGAAATGCAAAAAATCTGAACTTTCCACAAGGGCATGACGAGGAGGCATGTTTGGGGCCACACCACGGAAGGAACGCTCACTTGCGACCGAGTTTTCCACATAATTCCTACAGACAAGTGACCGTAGTCTACGACAGTGAAGGAAATTGTTCGCTATCTTCACAGCTTTCTGCAAAACATGTCCTCTGAAAATGGAAAATGTCACATAATAGGCCCACTATGCCTGCTGAGAACTGTTCAAAGATTCCACTTGATATACAGAGGATGGGATATTGAGAGCAGAGGGAACACGTAAAGCTAGTAAGCGCTTGAAAACGAAATGAAGATCTAAGAATTCGGAAAATAACATTCATCTAATCTCACAATGTAGTGGATGAGATTGAGTACGTGGCGCATTCTGGGGTAAGTTTTGAGGCCCTTCTTTGTGTGTAGCGGTTAGCCCGCATAAGCGGGATTATATACACATCACATGCGAGCAACTACTTTTGAGATGAAAATCGAGTGCATGGCGCATTCCGAAATCAAGCTTTCTGAAAATATTTTAGCACCATCTTGTAGCGCTTGAAGAGCTGAGTTCAACGGTGTTTTCCGTTTCTGGAATACTTCACTCTGACCCGACTTATAACGAATTCACGAAATTAACGAGGATTCGCGTTATTCGCGTGAATTTTCGATTTCAAACGGCGCAGTACTGTATGTGGACAGAGGCAGTGATCAATGAGGTCTATGAGTGATCCCAGCAGAGCATCGGCTTCGGTAGGAGAAACAGCGAACGCGCGGCGGGAAGGAGTGCCTAGAAGATGATGGAGGGCGCACAGAATCTGATTACGGTAAAGGGGACATGGACCATATCATTGGTTGCCTAGTTGTTGTCCTCGATTGTGGATTTGAAGGATTGAGGGTGATGTCGTAAAAAGTGTGTAAGAGTTTGGAATGTGTTGATGAAAGGTGTATGGGCAGCTCATTTTCATCGCGTGTTTAGAGACGAGAATTGGGACCGAAGTGAGGTTAAAAGGAAAGGTTAAAAGGAAATTCGGAGGTCAGGAAATTCCGAATAATGTTTGTGTGAGAAGTTGTGACTTGTAAGGTAAATCACATGTGATCACTTAGTCCCTATTTATCATATTAGGGTCCTCTCGAATTGTGGGGTTTCTATGGCTGGATAGACAATTCTCGTTTAGTGCAGGGTTTTCCTAGCTTCCTAGTTGTGCCTTGTATAGTGGTGCGGAATTTTGTTTCTCGATATAAATATAATAGTGGTGCGGAACTTTGTTTCTTGATATAATATATAATAAAGTAAATAAATATTAATTGTTGACGATTTCTTTCGCACTACTCGTGGTGGTGTTCTAGAATTGCTCATTGTGAAAGTGTTTGGCTTACATTAGAAGATTCGTAAGAGATGTTTTAGAATTGAAGGGTGTGAAATATGCTCATCGATTTACTGGGAAGAGTTCAGAGTTTCCGTATTCGAGTACTAACATTGAAACTGGGCAATTTCACTGTAGTGTCAATCAAGTATGGGTTAGTGTATATTAGAAGTGAGCTGTCGTCTTCCGACCGATTGCAATTACCTTTTTTAATACTTTGCAGATAATTCATTGCATGCGTAAGCTACGCATCGTTAGAGAAGGCCTTCTGATAGCGTGTTACATCATTAAGATCATGATCTGAAGAAAGAATACTTACTTCTTGAGGAGTCGTCGTTGGGACAGCCGGTGGAGCCAATTCGAGCACATCTTCGGAGCAGTAGCGGATCCGCAGAATATAGACAGAATAAATAGGTAGGTCGTTTCAAGATTTGTTCGTTAATTCATCATATCGTCATTGTTTATTTGATCTATTGTTCGTTTTTTCCTATCTGGCGACTCCGTGTTAAATCAACGTTTTATGTCTCTGGACATGTCCCTGTTTTTAAACAAGTAGCATTTATGGCTCCATGCATTATACACTGCGCAGAATTTCTTCATTATATATTTTTGTGCTCCATGTGCATCTCGTGTTTCGCCGATAATAATTGTGTTTCCCGGGATTTATAATGTAGTGACTTTAGGTGTCACTGCGTCTCGTTGAGTTTACCGGTTTTTGTGGGTGTAAACTCCCGCTGGGGAACTCAAGAAAATTAAATTCTTGATTTCGACAGCGAAAGTTTGTGGAATAAAGAGCGCTCTTGATGTTTTTATATGGCCATAGAAAGTAGTTTTATGTACAAATTAGGTATTCCCTATTTTTTTTCTTTTTTTTTCGCGTTTTATCAATACTAGTAATCTAACGAGATCATTTCAGATATCTGAGATCGTTCATCGTGCTTCGTGGTTGAAAAGAAAAACGTGTCGGCCGACTGAGATCATAATACGAAACACGATTGGGAATGAGTCTCGTTCTCTTCATGTTGAGGGAATAGGTAAGTAGAATTTTTCCCAAGATCGATGCTCTCTCTTCGACTTTATCCATTTCAATTTGTTGTCAGGTGTAGGTGTTGCCATCGGTCGTTCGTGTGCGTCTCGCTCTTGGCGCAGGTTTCAAACTCTGAAGTGACTTCTGATGTGCTATGAAATTGTACTGTCGTAGATTTCTCGCCACTTTGTGGTTATATCTCTTCAGTGTTTTAGCACTATGGAATTGTTATTGTTGTAATTTGTGTTTGTTGGACTTATTGTTGGTAATTTTGGCCGATGCACCATGTTTTGATTCAGTGGTAGTGAACAGTTTGTTGAATAAATCATTTATTAACTAACTACAACACACACGAATATACAAAATAAATTTATACAAAGAGAGTTGTTGATGTATTTGTATTATGCTGTGTCTCAGTCGTCAACCATCGTGCTAATTGTTTCATTGTCGTCTACTAGCATATTTAGTGTTGTAGGTGGCGAGTCCGACTGGCGTAAGTCCACTGCGGTGTAGGTGTCAAGCTGGCGTCGAAGTGAGAGCGTCAAGGTGCGACCGTAGTCGCTTGTTGGGGGCGGGCCTCGAAGGGAGAGTGAGAAGGAGATTGAGAATACTCGAGAGGAAAAATGAAGGAGCGAAGACTGGCTCCGCCGTTCAGGAGGCCGTCTTTATACCCCCCAGAAGAGGGCGGTATATATAATGAGGCGAGAGGGCGGTCCTTTAGAATGTCTTGTTGGAATGGTTTGTTGGCGGTACTTTCAAATTCCAAATATCGATCGTTAATGACTAATAGGACGTGTGGCGGTCAATGTGCTTACCCCAAATCATGACCGGAGAGTCATGACAGAAGGGATGACAATGGCAGTGAGAATGAAATACAATAAGACCGTCACTGCCACACCTCGATTTTCGTTTCCTAGCGCATTCTTGCACCTGTCATCGAAGCAGCAACCGCTCGTCGATCGGCATTGACATGATCCCAACGTGGAACATCACCCCAACAACCTCTTAGCAGTGAATATGAACGCAAGAAAACAACAGGTGAAATGAGGGTCTCGTTTTTGATTGTTTTCTTACTTTTTTAGAAGCCCTGATACCAGTTCTACTTTGACATTACAGCAGCATCAGCTCGAAGACTTCCATCGAGAAGGCTATCCTTCCGAGCCTTTTATGAATAATAGACCGGCAATGCGTACTTGAAATGGAGCACAAATGTAACAGCGGATGTAAGTCAGAGCCAGTAAGAGTAGCAGGTTCTTGAGCAACCTTTCAAAATTTTGAGCAAGGAAGCAGCTTATCATTCAAATGACCTTTGAGCGCAAAGTTTTGGAAAAAGTGGAGGAGGTGACAGATTGGTCGCTTGGTGATTGACAAGGTAATCTTTCAGAAGAGACAATTCGAGTAGGTCCGGAAGCATTTCTGAACTTTGTTATGTGTCTACACTGGTGTGCAAAACTTAGGGACCAAAGCTACTTTCAATCACTGTGCCTCTGCCAGACAACATAGCTCGATGAAATTCATATCATATCAAGAGAGAACCTCAACGATACTGTACAGAAAGCAACTGACAGAAATTCGGAATAAGACGAATAGTTATGACATTTTTATTCAACCATGTCGATTACACATAAGTCTTCACGAATTATCCTGGTACCACAAAAGAAGTTACACGGATCCTAATAGGGTGTGTGATCACCACGGACAGCAATGCATGCTCTGCAACGCGATCCCATACTCTCCACGAGGTTGGTAATGAGTTCCTGGGGCAGGGCATTCCACTCCTCAATCAGTGCATTTGACAATTGCTGGATCGTCTGAAATGAACTATAGAAAATATAGTCGTACAGCTCGATATGCCACGCGGTAATCGGACCGGACTTTCAGCGCCACGAATAAAACCAACAATTTATTCAGGCGCACGGCGCACACTCGAAAAATGCCTATAAAGAGGCAAACATCACTAAGAACGAATGCATTATAAAACAACATAATACGAGCTGTTAATCAACACAAATAGCGAACGAAACAATGGTGAGATAAAGAAACTCAGAGTGATCGAAAGAAACGTCTGAAATGGGAAATCAGAGAAATTGTAGAAAGCGAATATGTCTCGTAGTCGCTCGTGTGGCCTTATATACCCTGCTGTAGTCCGAAGTACACGGTATTATTGGAGATCAATTGATTTGATCGCGGTGGTCACCGCGATACTCCCGCTCGCGAAGTAAAAAAGGGGGCGCATCGTAATCAAGATCGACACATGTAGGGTATAAGCTAAAAGGTCCACAGTCATAGGTGGAATCCATGGCGGGCTCTTTCTCGTCGAAGATCGTTGAGGCGGTTGAGGCTTCGAATCCTTCCTTGTTGTGCATTTTCGAGACGGCTGCGTATGTAATCACTTCTATCTGGAAACGTGCAAAGGCCACTGTGATGTCCTCGGTCGCGGCAGTAGTAACATGCCGTGAGATACTTTTTACATGAGGCTCCTCGCGGACAGATTTTTTCAAGGCACATGCCGCATCTGTCATTCCTTATTATGATTTCCCTCCTGGCGTATGGGTCTCGAACTTCCGGACACGAGTCGGAATAGTGGCCGACGATGTCGCAGAAAACACACTTCATGTAACGTTCATTTGCCTTGCTTATGTTTCCTTGGCCGTATCTACGTGGCGGACAAAGGAGTTCGTTCTCATATTGGCGCAGTATTGCTTCAAAATCACGCAATTCTTGTTCCGTATTCCTGATTTCTCGGTCAATATCGAACGTATTTCTTCTGCTGACGTCCACCTCTGGGATCTGATGGCGCATAACGTTCTCCTCGAATGCTTCATCTTCAGCATTTGCTTCGTAGTCGGCATCATCGTGTCGTCCTCTGTGTTCCCTGTTTGGGAGCTGGTCTTCAATATCGCTCATGTCCGATTCTTCACGATCTGACTCAGAGGCTACCGATTCAAGCTCTTCTTCTTCGATTTCTTCGTCGTTCTCTTCGCTTTCCTCTTCTTCATCGATTCCCTCCATGAAGACTTCGTTATTCTTGATTATTTCTTTTTCCTCTTGAATCCTTGGGATTCCCTCTCCCCGGCTTCGGAGTGCTATGGCGGCTAATGCTTGTGAGTTGTGCGAGGCGGTGTTTTGGAGGCCCTCCATGGTTTTCTGAATTCCTTCGAGCTTGTCCCGTACTTCGTTCTCGAATGAGGATGTTTTCTTGTCCATTTCATTCTGGGCTTCCATGCGAACTTCAACAAGTGTCGATTGAAGGGTAGACAGGGTCTGAAGATGGTCGCTGACAACATTTTCGATGGTTTCCATGTCGGTGAGGAGTGGATTTCCTTCGCTCGTCTCTTGTGGCTGGCTCGTGATGGTCTCCCAAAACTCCAAAGTCATTTTTTGCATGGCAATAAGCAAAGGAGGAATGGAATAAAGGATTCTCAATTGATATCTACAAAACAGGAATTTCATACGGAGATTGTCTACCTCAAAAATCAGAGCAGGTTTGTTCGATATGCGTACTCTACGAGTTTTTTCTTCGAGAGCTGTCGTTGCCTTCGTGTGAATGAAGTTGTCGAAACACAGTGAAACAATCTTGTCGAAGAGCTGGTGAGGTTCCGGCAGTGGTGGTATCGCTTTTTGGAGTTGTTCGAGACTGCTCTGAGCTCGACGCAATTGCTCTTTGAGGTCGACCTTGTCTCCTTTCTGAAATAAGGAAGTAAGTTCGAAAACATGTGGCAAGGTGCACCTAAAATGACTACCTCTGTGGGCATGACTTCAATTTTGCGTTGAATGAGGCGCACCTACGAGTTGTTGAGGGTATGGCGTATACTCTAAATAGATGCTCTTATACGACATCTTTATGATGGTTTCTCTCACAATTTTTTTTTTCATGAGGTGCACTTTCTCGACGGCGCTCATGGAGTTATTCTCGCTTTTTTTTTCAGAAAGTCGTTTACCATTCTACGATCAGGAAAAGTATCAAAAATATTAGTGATATGGCGCAAAATTTTCTTGGTTAGTGTAAACGTGCTCGGGTGTCTTTCTCAAGCCAGTGCCGCAATAAAGTGCGCACCTATCCCTGGCACTTTCTCACGGAGTTGCTGAGAAGCATCAAGGCGATGTATAGTGAGAGAGATATTGAAATTTGTGAGGCTGATATTATACCCACAACCCAAGGGTGAGTTTGTTCTGCCACGTCCATTAGTGTGCACGTTGATACGTAGATAAGGATCGCCCCTCCTCAAAAAATGAGAGTATTTCCAAGCTATTCTGAGCGACCAACATTTGAGATTTTTGGGGTGCATGGCACATACCAACATTTGAGATTTTTGGGGTGCACGGCACATACCAAGTAGTCCGTGTTTGTAAAAACCCTTCTGCATGATTTTTCTACTGATCTCAGCTGACTGCTGGCGTGCGGTTTCGGGGATACTTTCAGACTATACAACGTTATTTCTAGAGACAACTGCGCATTTTTCAGGGTTATATCAAACTGTTCTGTTTTGCGAACAATGTTGGCGCAGGTCTGCGGATTTTTTGATGAAGGTGCATTGGCCAAACCCTTATCTTGGTAGAATGGTTGAAGTTCAAACAAATTTCTACTGAACGTGGATTGAATCAAGGAGAGGATCATTATGTAAAAGAGGAACCATTTTGGTGCACTTGATTGTCGCGACTGGTTGGTTACAATCGTATGAGCGTTATTTTGAGTGCGAATTTGATTACGGCGGCGTAAGTTATAGCGAGTTTGATTATCTACTACTGAACTAGAGTCAATTTTATGAGAATGCGACGATTCTGGTTCTAAAGTTTGAGTTTCTTCTAGACCTTGAGGAGCTTCTTGTATCTCTAAAGGAATGAGCAAATTTACTGGTCGGCGTATTTTCCTTTTATTGGAAGTCTGAAGCTCTGCTTCGCGAATTTTCCCATCGGTGCCTATCTTTGTACTCGTGATGCGTGCCATTTTCCATTCGTGTCTCGGCAGAATAGGATCAGTGACGAGAACAACATCTCCTACTACTGGAGTGTTCTGCCCTAGTCTACGATGAGTTGGAAGGCGTTTCTGGGTTTCTCTGAGGGATGTCAAATATTGATGTTGCCAGATCTTCCAGAATCGCTCCGTTGCTTGAATTGATGAATTAAGAGCTTCAATAACCTGTTGACGATACTCCATCGAGCGGCGTTCATCAGGCGGAAGATAGAGGGGGTCATCCTCGTCAGTGGTTTCAATTTCGGGAAACTTGAGTGTAATCTCACGTTGTATAAAGTCTATCGGGCGCACTGAGCTAAGTTCTTCGTGCGTCGATCCTTGGTACGTCAAGGGTCTTGAATTGAGGCATGCTTCGATTTCGATGATAATGGTGTAGAGATCATCAAATGAACGGTGCCGTCTTCCAGATAGTCCTTTATACAGTGCATGTTTTATGGACTTGATCAGGCGCTCATAAAAGCCACCTTGCCAGGGTGCATATGGCGTTATGTGCCTCCATTTGATTCCTTTGTTGGCGATGACTCGTTGCAAATCTTCCTGTAGATTGTTGGGCCGATCTCCTACAATGTCTGCGCTAAGGAGGAAAGTCGGCGCATTGTCACACGTCAGTGATTCTGGCACACCTCTGCGTGCGATGAATCTTCTGAGAGCATTCAAAAAGTCTTCTGTGGCCATACTTCTTAGGACTTCCAAGTGAATGAGGCGAGTGACGGTGCACGTGAAAATACAACCGTACAATTTTTGACTATTTCTACCTTCTGCGCAGGGGGGAAGGTCGAAAAAATCCAACCCTGTATGTTGAAAGGGATAAGCCCTTTGCACTCTATGTGAAGGTAGCTCCGGTGTGTCTGGATAGCGATACGGTAAGGCGTTGAACTTGCGACAAAGAAAACAATTGTTGATTATTTTCCGAACTTGTTGCCGTAGCTTCGGAATCCAAAAGTGCTCTCGAACGGATGCTATTGTGTGTTCGATTCCTTTGTGGTAATTCCCGTGAGTTTCTTGAATGATTCGCTGCGCTAGCAGCGTATTTGGGGTGACGAAGATTGGGTTCTTGGTGTCATCCTGAAGTGCTGCGTGTTTCAACCGTCCTCGTGAACGCCAAATTTTTTGTGTATCCTGATACAGTTGTAAAGTATTTTCCATAGATTTGCGGTATCCATCAGTCAAATAAGTCGACTGATGGTTGCGCAAAAGTATGATTCTGGCTGCTAGTAATTCTTCGCCAGTTAGGGGACAAGAAGTGTTTGCAATGTGCCTTAGTTCCGAGATGTTGGACAAAACCCTTCTCCGGACTCCTTCCATCGAGCGCAAAGTCTTTTTAATAAAGCGCAGAATTAGTGCAGCAATACGACTACCTGCAGTGAAGGACCGATATCGACTCCAGTCCAACAGTTCTGCGTGACCGACGAGTTTTGTGTTTGTCGCAGTCATGCAAGCAATTTCTTGGAGTACTGGTGTGTGCTCGTCATCTGCTGCTTCACATACGGACGGATAAAACTCGACTGGCCAAGTACTGGTAGGAGTTTTCAAGAAATGAGGACCGGTCCACCAATCGCTATTATCAATTTCTTCTCGACTCAATCCTCTGGTGCCAGCATCTGCGGGATTCTGTGATGTGTGAACATAACCAAAGACGATATTCACTCCTTCCTGTTGAAATTGACGAATGATTCTACGTATCTTCCTCTAATCGGTTGTGCACAAGAATACCCAAATTCTTACATTTCGGAGACGAAATCCAGTTGAGTACAATCTGAGAGTCAGAAAACACGTAAATGTTCCCTGGTGAGGCGGATTTTGTTGACTTCAAAGCTTTGAAAATGGAGTATGCAAGGCGCATTGCTATTGTGATTGCGTTCATTTCGAGTTTTGGTATCGTTGTCTTTGTTTTTATTGACGGTAACTTGCTCTTAGCCATGACTAGCGTTGATGCACCTAAGGTGAAGAGATAAGCGCAGGTAGCTAAAGCTATTTCACTCGCATCTGCAAAGACTGCTAAGTGCATCTTCGCGAAGCCATCATAAAACCGTCGTGGGAACGAACGGGTGAAACCATCTATATTGTTGGCTATTTGATTCCATTCATGGCGCATTTCAGAAGGCAATTCCGTATCCCACTGAAATCTGCGTTTCCATAGATCCTGCTGGAACTTTTTTGCAGGCGTGAGTAAGGGCACCAACCAACCGAAAGGGTCGTATATGGAAGCTATCTGTCGCGCAACTTTCCTTTTAGTAATCTTATCTGATGAGGGTAAGGAACATTCAATCATGAGATAGTCGTCCTGTGCATCCCAGAGGATCCCAAGTATTTTCTTAGGAGTAGGTGTGGCGCACGCTTCTTCTGGCAATTTACTGCGCAGAGAAGAGTCGTTGGATGTGAACTCCCGTAAGTTCATTCCCATGTCAGAAAATATTTTCCGTGCGTCCAAGGATTTCTGCGCAATTTCGCGAGGAGTTTCCCCTGAGAGAACTAGATTGTCTACGTACAGGTTTTCTCGGATCTCTTTGGCAAGCTCCACATCTGAGACAGCATAGCGAAGATGGTGATGAATTGTCCCTCCCAGTAGATATGGTGAGACATTTAGGCCGAAGGTCACTCGAGTAAAGCGATATGTTACAATGTTACTATCCTCTAATGGTGCATTGAAGTCGCGTACCCATAAGAATCTCGTAACGTCTCGGTCGGCCTCGTGTAGGTGCACTTGCAAAAAAGCTTTCTCAACATCTGAGATGGCCACATAAGGTGGAACTCTAAAGCGCAATAACATGGCGTATAGTTCTGGCAAGATAAGCGGCCCCTGGTGGAGGACGTCGTTCAACGACGGACATTCTTTGAAATGCGCACTAGCATCAAACACTATGCGTAACTTGGTCGTTTCCTTATTAGGTGTGACTACCGGTTGATGAGGTATGTAGTGAACCAACGCCTTGTCCCCGGAGAAGCTATCAGAAACTTGTTCGATGATTCCTTGCTCATGTTGTGCTGCAATGATGCCATCGTACTGCTCCAGGAGCTGCGGGGTTTTTTGAAGCATTTGCAACACTGAGCGCAGGCGTCTCATTGCAATCGCCTTGTTGGATGGCAAGGGGGGATGGTCTTTCTTGAATGGGAAACGGATGTAGTACCCATCACTGCGCTTCTGTATGGTGCTTTCAAAAAATTCAGAGACTTGCTTATTCACTGCCTCCTTTTCTGCATTCTTCGTACCACTGAACTCGCATATGCCAGCTGAGTCCATAGTCCAGTACTTGTCCCATCTATCCAACTCGTCTTCGAAATCAACTTCGAAGTTGACGAAGGTATTTATGGCGATGGGCTCTGGTGTGGGGTTGCGTTCGCTACCTCCCTTCGCAGTGGTGCACTTTGACTCGCTAACTAGCTGTTTTCCTGTTAATAGGTAGCCCAGCTTAGAAGGAACTAGGTGCAACCCTGAGGGCAGGGTGTAATGGGGGTTTGGTGCATCAAGTAACTCCCATAATTGATCGCAACCTATCAAAAGTTGAGGCTTGGAAGTCTCCTCATTGCGCGGTCTCGATAGGCGAATTTTGTGCTTATCTATGAAGGCTAAGTCTTCACTGCTAAGCCTTGCTGGTTTGCTAGTTGCAGTGATCACTGGAAGTGTGTGCACTGTTAAGCAATGTTTGAATCCATTTTGATCCCACATTTCTACAGTGGTGCGGCTGCATATGGTATGCCTGGGTTGCTGAGCGCCGAATGTGTAAACCTGGAAGTTCTTTGTTGCCCCCCGCTCGAGGCCTAACTCATCAGCCAAGTCATTGGTGATAAAGGACTGGTCGGCTCCGGTGTCCAGTAGAACCTCCACGTTCTTCCATTGCTTTCGCAAAGCGTCCTTAACTTGCGCTACTCCTGTTAGCAAGAAAACGTTGTTGGTTCCCTTCCACTGATAGCTCCTTTCTCCACGAGGACCATCGTTGTTATGTGAAGTGGAGAGGACTGTACCTGTACCAGCGTCCATGTTCCTTCCTTGTGCCAATGTGGTAGCATCTAGTGGAGTCTCGGTTCCGAGGGTATTTGCATGTGCTTGTGAGGGATTTCTATGCCGTGGCTTCTCGGCCTTTCCCTGCACTCTTCGTTGCTGCTCCGCAGCTGATTTCGGAATTGTCCCTGCATCAGTCCTTTTCGGAGGAAGTGCACTCTGCAGTGTGGATTGGGTATTCTCCATGCGCGTAGGACACAGGGTGTGGTGGTGCTTCTTCCCTCCACAATTCCTGCACCCTTCTTTTGGACAAGTACTCAAAAAATGGCCTACCGATCCACAATTGAGGCATCGGCCCGTGTTTTTGAAGATTTTGCAGCGCTCTTCTATAGTACCATATTTGGTGCACATTGCGGATTTATGGTCGGAGCCTTGACAAAATATGCATGGCACTTTAGTCGGTGTGCTTTGATACCCCATGGTGGATCTTTTAGAAACCGTGCTCCTATTGACTATGCGCTCAATACTTTCTTCTGTGGTGATGACTTCATCCAGTTGAGCAAGGACTTCTTTAAGAATCCAAGAACGTCCTTGCGGGGTCACCCTCATGCAGTGCTCTAGTACTTTGCGCTGGATGTCAACTCTAAACTTTGACATCACCCTTTGAGTGAAAAATGAACCATCCAAGGATACTCCTTTATCCTCGAGCTGTGCCACTATTGGCATTATGGTTTCGAGAAGACGCCGCTGTCCGTCGAGTGTGCTAATTATCAGCGCAGGTCTGTTCGAGGCGCGTCTGCAAGCAGTCGATGAGGCGTGACTCATCGCCGTACTTATTGCGCAGAAAGGTGACTGCTTTGTCATAATTAGCTTCCGTTACGTTAAAGCGGAGCACAGAATCTTTTGCCTCACCCCGTAGAGCGCTAATCAAATAATTGAATTTTTGAAGGCGCGTGAGGGGTTGGTTGTGAACGTTCGCTTCAAAAAGGCTCCAGAAGTTCTCAAACTCCCAGACCTTTCCAGTGAATGTGGGGATAGGGATGGGAGGTAATTTGTATGGGGCGGCTTGTGTGGTTGGTCCTGATGGACTAGATGGTCCCGCTTGTGTGTCGAAGGCGCAGATTGACTTTGCTTCAAGTTCTATTGCTGCCTTTTGCCCGGCATCGATAGCGTTTTGTGCCCTCTCTATATACTCGTTGGATTGCGCTTCCTGTTCTGGCGTGGGAACGACCGTCAGGGAATCTAGCGCACTTGTGAATTTGGATAGTGCCTCTGATGCAAGTTGGCAGCTTGCATTTAGCTGGAAAACTAGCTCCCTAGTTTGCTGAATGTTGGCTAGGTCATGAGTGCGCGGCGCGTCCGGTTGTTTATATAATGCATATTTTTCCATTAAGGACTCTATGTTGTTACAGTAACGGGTCAGTAGACCTTTTTGTGTGCGCAGAGCTGTGGGGCCAATCATGATGAAAGTATGAGACTCAAGATGTAGAAGAACAACAAAACAGAATGAGTTGTCAGCGCCAAAATGTTCTTGATTGTTTTTGACTACGTGAAGCACGTAAAAAATTCAAGGAGGATTCAATACTCAAGCAAGAATGAATCAATTCTTGAATAAAAACAAATCAATCAATGACAAAAACTTTTTGACACTCCTGAGCGTCGGCGCAAATGTGCAACTATGAACTTGGAAAGCAAATTATTGAACACTCACCGATCCTTTTGCGGCCCTGCTTCGGTGACTGATGCACCATGAAATGAACTATAGAAAATATAGTTGTACAGCTCGATATGCCACGCGGTAATCGGACCGGACTTTCAGCGCCACGAATAAAACCAACAATTTATTCAGGCGCACGGCGCACACTCGAAAAATGCCTATAAAGAGGCAAACATCACTAAGAACGAATGCATTATAAAACAACATAATACGAGCTGTTAATCAACACAAATAGCGAACGAAACAATGGTGAGATAAAGAAACTCAGAGTGATCGAAAGAAACGTCTGAAATGGGAAATCAGAGAAATTGTAGAAAGCGAATATGTCTCGTAGTCGCTCGTGTGGCCTTATATACCCTGCTGTAGTCCGAAGTACACGGTATTATTGGAGATCAATTGATTTGATCGCGGTGGTCACCGCGATACTCCCGCTCGCGAAGTAAAAAAGGGGGCGCATCGTAATCAAGATCGACACATGTAGGGTATAAGCTAAAAGGTCCACAGTCATAGGTGGAATCCATGGCGGGCTCT